CCCTTGGCGCCACCATTGCTGGAATGAACGACCGAATGGAGGGCACCACCACCCAATGGTCAACCGACTCTGCTTCTATGATTGGCAAGGTAGAGGAGACGCTCGCCAAGTACGAAGAGCAGAAGCTTGCGATGATGGAGAAGCTTGAGGAGCAGAAACTTGAGACTATCGCGAAGCTTGAAGAGCAGAAGAGCGAGACCATCGCCAAGCTCGAAGAGCAGAAGAACGACACCATTGCCAAGTTTGAAGAACAGAAGCTCGACGACAAGACGGAGCACTCCCACACCCGTGATGAGATCAAGAACGTCGAGAATATCTTCACCAATCTCCAGGATAACATTACGGAGTATCACCCCAAGTTCATGGTTGCCTTGCACGAGATCGAAGCTCTTGTCAAGGCTCACTACGAGCACGCACAGAAGACCAAAGAGGAGGCAGACGAGAACGTTCGTGCTTGGAACGAAGAAGCCAAGGCTCGCTCCGAAGAGTTGCAGACGCACTTTGCCAATCTGCCCAAACTACTCCCAGCCCCTACGCCGTCTATCGAGCTTCCCGAGAAGTACGACGATGCACCTGTGCAAGAGAAGCTCGACAAGCTGCTGGCGATCGAACCTGCACCAAGCTACAATGACGGAGCTGTACACGAAAAGCTCGACAAGCTCATTGGTCATGCTGATGACGCAAGCAAAGCTGCAGGCAACTTGGAGAAGTTGGACGAGATTCACGCTCAAGTCAAGATGACTGCCGTAGAGCTGAGCGACTTCGTCGCCAAGCAGACGCAGTTCATCACCGATGGCAACGAGTCCAAGGAACGCGAAGCTGAGGAGCTCGCTCTGCTCATTGAGCGCAGGACAACCCAGAAGGAGCAGCTGGAAGTCGACTTGGAGAGTCTGCGAGCTGAGAAGGCTACCCAGAAGGAGCAGCTCTTCGCAGACATCCAGGAGATGAAGGCGGAGAAGGATCGCGTCGTACAAGAGCTCAAGGAGGAGAAGGAGCGTGTCATGGCCGAGCTTCAGGAAGAGAAGGATCGCACTATGGCTGAGCTCAAGGAAGAGAAAGATTCGCTTCTTGCTGCCGTTGCCAGTCTGCAAGCGGAGCGCGAGAACCTCGCCAACCAGAAGGTCCGCCTTACTGGTGAAGTCTCGTCTCTGCACACTGCGCTTGACATTCGACGAGAGGAGCTGCACTTCATGGACACCAAGGCTGACGCACTCGAGCGTCGCATCCTGAACGGCATCATGGATCACTCCCGTGCTCTGATGATGACCAAGGGCGGCTCGAAGAACGCTTCGAAACTCAAGAAGCGCATCAACGCAGACGCTGCCAATGAGGACACCAGGGCCATGCCACCTCCCAGCACTGCCGCGAATGGTCTTTCTCTTGCGCTCAAGCCCCGCCCTGCTATCCGTCGCAACGGTGCACCTGCCAACCCAGCACAACGCCGCATCCTGTCTCTTAGTCAGATCAGCGGTAACGCCCCTACAGGAGCTCAAGCTTATCCGACAACCAAAGCTTCGGTTGATAGCAATGCCGGACTGAAGCGCAGCCACTCTGTCAAGACCAGCAACTACTCTCGCAAGGGCTCTTGGGGCGGTCGCCCTAGCGCCGTCATTGCCAACAAGGAGAATGATGTTCTGCCTGAGGAGGATGAGCACGAGACAGCGCCGATCTCGCACGAAATCATCGAGGAGGACGCACAGAGCGAGACCGGTACTGAGCGTCGTTACAGTCTCGACAGCCGCGACTACGCTGAGGGTGAGACGCCAGGCTATGACGGTCGCTCCAGCTTTGGTGGCACAGGCAGCGAGTACACATACGCCTCCGGTTCCTCGTACATGACCGGTAGCGACATCGACCGCCGCACCTCGTATGGTGCTCAGTCAACTCGCTCTGCTGCGCCCGGTGAAGAGCGCATCGACGAGGAGGGTTCCGTTTACTCCGAAGACGAAGAAGACGATGAGCCCACTGCTACTATCAACCCATCCGACGTCACTGGCTCCGAAATCTCGACCGCCACTACCGAGAACGACGTGGAGCTGCCAACACAGTCAGAAATCGTCCGTGCTGTTGACGCCGTGAAGGAAGAGATGAAGGAGAACTATGCCCCACCCAGCGACTCGGGTGTTGGTACTGATCTGCCTACTGCTGCCTTCAACGAGTCCGAAATGGACGCCGATTACTTCCGACGCGCGGCTGAGGAAGAGGCAAGCACTGTCGGCTAGATCCGCATCTACGAAATCTATTGACGATTGCTGATACGAACACGCTCCTGCGTCTCGCTCCGTAACTCCCGGTTTGAAGCTTCGACTCGCCCTCTGAGGGTTCTAGAGTTGGCATCGCCGCTTGATATGTCGAGCTTGACCACGACGTGTTCTTCGAAGTCGCAATGCATGATTGATGGCTTATGTGTACGTGTCACGGCATGACGAAGTTTGGATGGCATTGATGTTGTTGGGATGCACATGAGGAACGAACGGTACGACGAGCTTTGAGATGTTTCTTCGGCGTTGGTTATCGGGTGTTTGGATAGGAATCGGCGGATGTACGCATTTGGGTCTGGGTATAGCGTTTGTTTGGTCAACTCGGTGGAGTCACATTGCTGTTTACATACTTGTTCTTGTTTATAACTTTAGCCGATACGCGAGCTCTTCCATGAGCATAATGAAACGATCGCCTTCACTTGTTCGCCCATGACTGGAATATCGGTCAATGCTGATTCCACGGAAAGAGATATGCTATCGCCGTTGCCGAGGGGCTTCGCGTGTCTTAGTGGGTGTCTACAGCCAGTGCAATGCAGGTAAGGGTGAAGACATCTGGAGTGGCTGGTGGAAGATTGACGCGTCCACGGGTCGATGCCGAGGACGCGACAGCGCTAGTACATTATGAGTTGGCGCGCTTTGTCGGTCTCTCGCATTGACCGTCATGAGCCCCGCATACATGCCATCTCGTTCTATTCTCCTGCCTGTCGCGCCCGAAAAAAAATGGTCATCTATCTCGTTGTCTTCGTATGTCTACCTACAGCCTGCCAGCTACTAAACCGAGACTTGTGAGCGAAAGATCACGAATTACACATTGCGGAGAGCCGACGGTTCTCGCTGCTTCGAACAAGTCTATCGTGGAACCCGACGAGCGCGACCTATACATGCCGTGTGCAATGTACACAGCCGTCAGGCTTTGAGAACATGGTCTCTACTAGGGTAGCATGCATGTGGTATCTGCAGCTACCCCGGATGCTATGAGGCTATACGCTGATCAATTCCTCCAGCCCCAACAAGGCTGAGTGGTTGCACTCTAACATTCGCTGTCGCAGCTATGACGACACAATACAAAGTCATGATGTGCTCTTCAGGCATATTAAAGGCTTCCGCGATATTCCTGACAATGCTATTTTTGGTCACCAGTCTTTGGGATCAACGTTAGCTGATAAGGCGAGTACGAACTCTTACACGAGGGTGGGTTGGCTACTCTCCCGTGTTGCTACTGTGGCTCAGACGCCATGCATTTAGCCTGGCCAGTATTGCCTCCCCATTTGACTTTGCCAAGAGTAGGCTGAAAGGCCGCGCGTGAACCCTTAAGTCTGAGTGCTTTCCTCAGCCTGACTACAAGCGTATCTTCCCTTAACATGAGCATCATGCATCTAGTTACATGGCTATCCTCGCTATTTAAGCGTTCAAGCAATATCGCATCCACTCATGCAGCGATCGAGCTCTGCCAAATCAAAGGGGACGGAGAAGTGAAAGCGCGAGAGGAATCACTTCTGCAAGGCTGGCCAGAGGCCTCGCAGCGATTGAAAGGCGTCTCAGCGCTCTACTATTCTGGGGACTGTTTTTTGGTGCTGTTTCCATTCGCGTTCATCGGTGAGTGGGTCGAGAGGATGGAGATCCACACAAGCATCTGCCGCTAACATCAAGAAGTGTTGGCGATAACGGCATGGCGGCTTGACGGACAGCCTCTGTCCGAACGCGGCAAGCTTGTCCAGGGTGCCATGAATGTGGGCCCGACTGTTTACCCACTCGTCTACGCTGCGCTCGGTGGCCGTTCTCTGAGAAACTTTGCAGTCAGGTGTGCAGAACGAGGGACAACTGTTGAGGTATGGTTTCCACTGCTTTCTTTGCAATGATGACTGAACTGCCTCCGTAGAACCACAATTAACTTTTATGGTGCTCAACAGGCGCTCGAAAAGTATCTTGGAAGTCAAAGCTTCGTGTCCGCCGTCAGTACAGCCATCAGTATCCGATCCTTGGATTTGATCTCTGTTCTCATCCTGTTCTTATGGGCTTTGTCACCCATAGGTGGGCAAAGTTCGTTGCGACTTCTCCAGGAGACTACAAATACAATATACACTGCAGGCACCATCCATCACACAAATCCGGACCCGAATCTTATGCGGTTTGAAAACCAGGACATACTTACAGCTAGCCTTATGACCCCTCAACGAACTCAACTCAGCCCGCTGGACTTATGGAATCGTCCCAAGATTCCACGGATTAAGGACGTAGAAAAAGGGCAAGACTTCCCTGATCAAGTCGAGGCAGAGTGGAGTTCTACGGTGGCCAATGAGAGCTACACCTCTTTGATCGGAATTAATACTCAAGGCCTCGCACCCAATTCAAACTCGACTTTCGTTGTCGTACATCAATATATATCTCTGGATTGCAAGTCACGATTCACTGGGAATGTGGTCGAAATTCTCGAACATCTTGACTTGTACTTTCCCAACTTGTATCCAAGCATCAACTTCGAGGCCTCGGACCCTTTTGATCAACTTTTCCCGTTTCCTCAAGAAACTAGCGTATCCCTTTCTGGATGGACAGATGGGGATGCCATATTCTTCAGGATTGGGGCTGAGAACGATACCCGCTCTAATGTCAGCGCTTCAGAAGCCGATGGTCGGCCTATACAGTTCATGTTTGGACTTCATGAACCCAAATATTGGCTCCCGAGTTCGAGAGATGGTCTGGCGGATGTGTATCAATGTGCTCCACATCTCATCAAAGTAGATGCCCACATATTCTGTCGAGAAAATATTTGCGAGGTTGAAAAGGTTCGCCGTAGCTGGGCGACACTATCTGAAGCAAAGGAATGTGAAGACCCCTTTCACAGCCGTCTTCATTGCTTCGCAAACGACACCAAGAGTTTGAGGAAATTTATAACTTCAGGGGGGAAAGCGACGTGGTCCTTCTTTTCCGGGCTACAGTATGCTGTGCAAACAACCCAGCGCGACGAAGATGACCTAGTATCGGAACGGCTCAGCCTTTGGTTGAATACTTGGTGGCAAGCTGGTGCGTTTTCGTCCTCAGCCACGGCGTGGAACCCTTACGACATCCCTCCACAGATAATCTTTGATGACACCACTGCCGGTGGATTTTGGTTGATTCCGGCGAATGCAACCTTCTCCACCAAGTTCCCTGTCTACCAAAAGAACACCGCTTGGATCATCACACAACTCTTCGCCTCCACCGTATTACTCCTTCTGGGCATCCTGAACATCGCCATCTACTTGACAACACTGGCACCAGACTATTTCACATACATCTCAGCCTTCACACGCGACAACCCATACGTCAAAGTTCCTGAAGGCGGCAGCGGCCTCGACGGCTCTGAGCGTAGCCGGCTTCTGCGGAAGATGAAAGTGCAGATTGCGGATGCGAAGCCGGAAAGCGATGTTGGCTACGTGGTACTCAAAAGTGTTGAGGATGAAGCGGAGTTCGCGAGTGGGCAACTACGTAAAGGCAGGCTGTACGAGTGAACTTTTTGGTGGGCCGGCTTGGAAGATACAGGGATGGTGTACCGTCATATTGATGGCATGTCTGTGCACTTAGAGAACATACGTTCAATGTCTCGAAGCTGGCTGCACGTGTTGAGGTGATGGTCTAGGTGCAGATATTGTTTTGCTTCCATCTGGTTCAGGCTTTGTTGTTCAGAGCATAGGAATAGGGCAAGGGCAACAATTCCCAGTATGTCTGATGTAAATTACAACGCCGATGACCTTGATAGAGTATATATCCATTGCCCGGAACTCCATTGTGCCCCTAGTTGTACATCGGACAGCAGTCCAACAATTCCGTTTTAAATGTCCAGTCATCACTCATCGTCATCTTCTTCATCCGCAGCCTTCTTCGCACTCTCATCCTCGTCCTCTTCTGCCTCTTCTTCGTGTCCTTCCTTCGTATCCTCAGCCTTCGCACTCAGATCAGCCTCATAATCCGGCCGTACGACCTGTATATCCTTCTTGGCGAGCGCAGATTCGATAAGCGGTGCCGATGCGAGTAGAGCGTTGTATTGATCGATTGTAAGCGAGATGCCCTGAATGAAAACCCCGCGTTAGCAAGTCATTCCTCTAAAACAGCAGAAGGGAAAGATGGAACGGATACATACCTTCTTCCCCGGCCTCGTCTCTCCAGCATCAGTAACGTAGTACTCCCGTATACTAACAAGAGTACTCTTGTTGAAATCGCTAACTGTGACGCGTCGTTTGCCGCTGGCGTTGAGCTGACGTTCTCGTCAGCACTCTTCTGCCCACTGTCCTCGGTTTCCCCTGGCCGTGGCTACTCACACCAACATATGCATCGCCGTTATCATCCGTCTTCAGCTCCGGGACCACTGGTACCGATTCCTCGTCGTCGTCTCCGGATTTGGTCTTCTTGCTTGCGCGCGGCGCGTTGTCGTCGTCAGCGTCGGGTGAGGATCGTTTCTTTGTGAAAGTCTTTTTGTAGTTGCTGCCACCTCGGGCGCCGCCTCGTTTTGTGAAACCTGCCATTGTATGTTGGGAGGGGATGGGTTCGGACGTATAAGGTGCAAGACGTTGGATTTGGAGTTCGGATTGTACTGCTCGTGGCGATGACGCAGGGAGTGCGCGTCGCGCTAAGAAAACGCGCTAGAGACGCGGTCATGTGATTAGGCGACGCGACTTGCTCTCTTCCGGCCGTCGTGTAGCTCTTGCCCTCGAGCTTGAATGGTCTTTCCCTCTCTCAAGGTAGTTCTCGTTATGACACTCTTTGTCTTGTATACTTCATTCTTCTATGTAAGCGAGTGTCGACTTGACTAATCTATCTGCTGTGGTCATGATCCTATAATGTCTAAATGGCGTGTATCACTTCATCAGCCTTCGGTGCCCTATGTACTTCGCTCCATGGCCGTGAAGGTCGCATCTGCTGCACCTTTTGTGGTCTTTCTAAGCTCAGCGGTCCAGAGATTTCTTTCTCAAACTCTTGCGAAATCCTGCCCTCGTGGCTGAGAACAGAGTCCGCGCGTCCCATCTCGATGTCTTTAGCTACCGACGCCCTTCCGTGTGCATTCGGGTCGATCAGGATTGATGGTACACGCGGATCATACATCGTTGGGACGCGACTGCGTGAAGGAGGTGGAACAACAGCGTCGTATCCGTGGAAACCCATGCCGAGTGCCGATGCAGTGGGTTCGAATGAACAGCTCTCCTTCTCTCGGGCGCGACGGCACGCGTCGATCGTCGCGGTGATGAATGTGATCAAGAAGAGGAACCATCCTGCTCCGGCTGCGATGGTGTAACCACGGCTAAGATCGACCAGGATCGCGAACATCATGAGGTTTGGGTTCGCCGCCGTGTCGAGACGCGTTTCGCTAAAAGTCTCGAGACTCATGTTGAAGCTGAGAGAAACGCCGAGAGCGACTGCCATGGCGCACATGCACAGGCATTCGATGGGGATAAGGGCCGCTGAGGGTATGCGCAGGCGTTGGATGATGGCTGTCAAGACGATTACCATGCCCGCAAGCGAAGCAAAGCCGGCCTGCCTGCATGTTAGTACAACGGTATTGATCGATGACTGTTGCACGTACAGCCGCGACTGAGATCCAGATCTTGATGGCGCCTTTGTACACCGTAGCAAAGTATTCTTTCCAATACTCCGCCATTTGAGCCTCTGGCTGAAGCGCGTCCATGATCCCGGTACCACGACTCTTCATATCGCGAATGATGAACTGGGCTAATTGAAATGATTAGCACCATTTTTCCATGTTCTTGTTTGAAAGATGAACACTTACACCAAGCACCTAGTCCTAGCACTCCCATTGCCACGATCAGGGCTAGGACCCTTATTGACAGCAATATCGATTTGCCATATCCCATTCTCGTACAAGAATTGATGAAGAATACGAGATGAAATGGATGCAAAGTATAAGCACAGTCCAGCTGGCAGCTGCTCACAGAGCGCTAAAATGAAAGTAAGTGGTGTCTAAACGAGTGAGTGGTAGGCACGAAAAGAAAACCCGTTTGCACGAGCGGATGCAGTATCGTTATTGAGGCAAACGTCACATTGTCAATAAAGTTCGGAGCCTCAGGAGCCGGGTGCCTTGATGTGATGCCTTGTGCAGCTTGAGTGGGGGTGGAAACATCTGAGGTGCAGGGTGGCTGGTGGTGCCTGAGCGTGCAGGCAGACCTGATTCAAGACCTGCGATGTCAACGCGCCACCATTTCTTCCACGCGGAGCTCTGGCTCCGACCCGTACCTGAGCATAAGGCAGAAGAATCTTCTGGAGCACTGGTCTCTCTTTGTACCCTTGCTTCTCGCCTCACAGCTCATTGTTCAAGCGTTCATGCCATCGCAGCTCAGCAATTGGCCAGCAAACCCGAAGATTTCCCACGGAATGTTGTGATCCGCCGTAAGAGGAATGCGTCCACGCGCATTGACAGTTGTGACGTTCCGATAATGAGGAACGGCTGGGGTGATGCATGTTTCTCCACGTGTTGGCGGTCTTGAGACAGAACCTGAGGCACCAAGGCGTCGCCATTGTCAGGCTGAAACGGGCGTCAGACCCGGGAACTGTAGCAACGCTATCAACGCTTTCCGGAAGGTTCCGTCACCATATAGCCAGGCTGCTCCATAAGTAACGACCGTGCCGCTATGATGCCGCCAACATTTGGCTGAGGTCGCAACCTTGGAATATCTGCACGGCCTACCTAGGTAAGCACGACGCGCTAAATCGCTTCGGGGTTCGGGCGATTGTTATCCGGGGCTACTTCATGATCCGACTTCCGACAGCGAAAGCCCGGAAAACATGGATGACGAGTTCTCGGTGCTAATGTAAAAGCATCATGGCCAGGCCAAGCATTGCGATGCTTCGACCGTGAATTTGATTCATGCCTGCGGAATGATGAATACCTAGGTAGGTGAGTCTGTGTGAAAGCCGGCCATGCAAACGTTTTCGTCTTATCGATCAAGGTCTTCTCCGTTACGAATGAAGACGGCTTTGAATTGCAGTACTACAGTGTGCAAGACCTTTGAGATGGAGATGTTGTGCTTTCATGGAATACAGAGCGGGGCGATGCGAAGAAGCATCTGGGTAATCGTCGGCGAAGCTAGCCTGTCGGCAATCGCCAGTCGTGCCGACCATCCTCCATCCAGCAGCCATCGACACTTGTATCCGCTCTCCCCTCTCCGCCAAGGCAAAATGCGGAGAACGGTTGGGGAGAACGGTAGCATTGCGGATGGCTCGTCACGAGGCCCATATGGTATTCCGGTGGAATCCCGAATGACGTGGGTAGATCGCGAGACGGATGCAGAATTTTCGGAAGTATTTAGCTACCCGTGAATCCAAGGACTGCTTTCATCGTGTTGCAGACGAGAGTTTTGCAGGATGAGATACTCCAGCGCAGTTGCGGTGAGCTTCGCTCTATTGCCAAATCTAGCGGTCTCGCAAGGATACACCAATGAGTCGGAGGTTCCATTATACGGACTTAGTCCGCCAGTATACCCGACCCGTGAGTGTTTTGGTCATGATCGAAAGTCAAAGGACTAACAATAGACAGCTGTCGGTAATGGAACAACCTCGTCTTCTTGGGCATCCGCATATGCTCGAGCGAGAGACCTCGTGGCACAATTGACGCTAGAGGAGAAGTCGAACCTCACACATGGCGTCTCCGGTCCTTGCGTAGGCCAAACGGGAGCTGTACCTCGTCTTCAGATCCCAGAGCTATGTTTCGCGGATGCACCTGCCGGCGTGCGAGGACAAGAATTTGTCTCCTCATTCCCTGCTGGCATTCATCTTGGAGCTACGTTCGATCGAGATCTCATGCTCAGATATGGCCATGCTCTCGGTAGAGAGTACAGAGGAAAGGGCATTCATGTTGCTCTCGGCCCATTCATCGGCCCTATTGGAAGAGTCGCGCGCGGCGGTAGAAATTGGGAAGGTCTCGGTGCCGACCCGTATCTTGCTGGTATTGGCGGTGGTCTCATCACCAGAGGTACACAGAAAGAGGGCGTGATCGCTACACCAAAGGTAAGCGACATCGTAAATACGATGAGAGTTTTGGCTGATCGTATCAATAGCATTGGCTTGCGCAAGAACAAGAGTACAGGCGACGCCCTGGTGACGAAGGCGAGGCCGTCTCTTCGAATGTGGACGATCGCACACTTCACGAGCTCTATGCTTGGCCATTCATGGATGCCCTGCGTGAAGGAGCCGGTTCGCTGATGTGCTCATACCAGCGAATCAACAATTCATACGGATGCCAGAACAGCAAGCTTATGAACGGAATTTTGAAGGAAGAGTTGGGTTTCGAGGGTTTCGTGGTATCTGACTGGGATGCGCAGCACGCCGGTGTCGCTTCAGCCAATGCCGGTCTCGATGTGGTGATGCCTGTTGCCAAATTCTGGGGCGAGAACCTTACCGATGCGGTTAACAACGGATCCGTTACTACAGAGAGGCTCGATGACATGAACACAAGACTACTCGCAGCCTGGTTCTATCTCAACCAAGATGAGGGATTCCCCGAGAACGCCGTCTACCCATACAACGTCGAACACGAAATCGTTGACGTGCGCGAAGACCACGCATCTCTCATCCGAGAGATCGGAGCTGCCGGAACCGTGCTGGTTAAGAACGTCAACAACACTCTACCACTCCAACACCCCCGCTTCTTGAACATCTACGGCTACGATGCTGAAGTAAAGTCCCAGCCATGGAACAACCCATCTCGATTCGGTGGTGGCTATGAAGAGAATTTCGGCTGGAACACGCTCAACGGCACCCTCATTACGGCAGGCGGATCAGGCTCCAGTACTCCGCCTTACGTTATCAGCCCTTTCAACGCCATTCAGAATCGCGTAATTGCGGACCGCGGAACTGTACGATGGGACTTCTTTGGAGTGAACCCGACCGTGTACGCAAATGCTGACGCATGCCTCGTCTTCATCAACGCATACGCTTCGGAAAGTTTCGATCGCACTTCTCTTACAGATGAGTTCAGCGACCAGCTTGTCAACAACGTTGCAACCAACTGCTCAAACACGGTTGTTGTACTGCACTCCGCCGGCATCCGCACCGTTGACGCATGGATTGACCACCCCAACGTCACCGCCGTCCTTTTCGCGGGTGTTCCTGGTCAGGAAAGCGGTAACGCTATCGCCGACGTTCTTTACGGCGATGTGAACCCATCCGGACGTTTACCCTACACCGTCGCAAAGCAAGAGTCCGATTACGGCCACCTTCTCAATTCGACTCTAGACCCTTCCATCCCGGCATTCTTGCAGTCGGACTTCACCGAGGGTTTGTACATCGACTACCGCGCTTTTGACGCACAGAATATCACACCGCAGTATGAGTTTGGTTACGGACTTTCGTACACGACATTCGGCTATGCGAACATGACAGTTGAGCCTGTGGCGAATGCAAGTCTCGCTGCCTTCCCGTCCACATCTGTGCCAATTGTACAAGGAGGTCACCCTTGGCTATGGCAAGTCTTGTACCGCGCCACAGTCACTATTACCAACACCGGCAAGGTCGCTGGCCACGAAGTAGCGCAGCTATATTTGGGCGTACCAAATGCGCCGGCGAAGCAGCTTCGAGGTTTCGAACGCGTTGGTTTGTTGCAGCCTGGCGAAAGCCGAGAGGTCGAGTTTACTTTGGACCGACGCGATCTGAGTGTCTGGAACGTTACGGCTCAGGCTTGGGAGCTTCAGAGGGGCCGATATGCCGTCTGGGTGGGAGCAAGCAGTCGTGATATGAAGCAAGAGGGCGAAATTGTAGTCGAGTAGGCTATTAAGATGAATTAGTAATGTCTATACTCGCAACCATCATCATTGTAGTTCTTGCAGTCTTGTGAAATCATGAGTTAGTGATATCTTGGTGCCCCTCATTAGAATTCTCGATTCAAGGCATAGCCAGGAACGTGTGGGTTCAGTCTACGTGGTAGTTCAATCTGTTCACTCGCTGAACTCTTGATCAAACGAAATCCAGCGATGCGGGATATGACAACTTCCGAAGCACGCCAATCGAACTATGACTTGATGTGTCTTGTTTCAAGCAATGATTTGTGTGCGGCTACTATGCAAGCCATCTACTTAGTTTGTCAACAACAAGCTGGTCGGAGAGGACTCGCAGCATACCCCTGAGTGCTTTTGCCCCCGCCTTAGATAACCACGGTCTTCGTGCCTGTTCTGCGAAGGGGCAAGACTGCACAGACTAGTATACGATGCAGTGAATGCAAAAACGCCCCTGCTCCTCCTAGAGGGCCTCCTTCTGCCTAGCACTCTCTCCTCGATCTATATCAGGCCCAGCTCTCTAGGGGCACTGCCATTCTCCAACGGACCACTCCACTCAACTCCAAAGCCTTGGACTTTTTCGACGCTTCATATCCCTGATATACTTAGAACAATCATGGTTAAGCTTAATGACTATCCCATATCAGTGAGTCTCTTGGAGTCATTACTTTCGTGAGCCATACTAATGGCTACTAGGAGGAGGTCCACAGAGCCTACCTATCTTTCTTGAAGACGCCCAAGAACAAGTCCGCTTTCGAACAGCAGGTTGAGAACCCCGTACTTCTTTCGGCCTTCCAAGATATTACGATCGCTGCCGAGGGTTACATCCAGTACACTAGCAAATACGACTCCGTGGACAACTGGGATGACACGTTCACCACTGAGGACAGTGTCTTCTTGGATATGGCCAATGCATGCATGGCGTACACTCGGCATGCAGAATACAAGACATCAGCTGAGATCGAGTTCTTTGGAATGGCAAGAGCCGGTATGCGATCCATGAAGCATGCCTACGACCCTGCACCGATGGACATGTTCTCTGGACCGCCTCTGCCTGACGCTCTGCTGACCGTGTATCGTCACATGGGATACACCCCAATTGAAGATGTCATCTTCTTCGACATGGTTGCCGCGTTCGAGACCGCCCAATTCTGGCAAGCGTGGGACAATCTCCATGACTGCTCCAACTCGGAAGCCTGGGATGGTTGGGCTGACCAGTGCCTGTGTAACTATTGCGTGGACGAGTCCGCGCACATACACGGCATTGAGGAATGGCGCGCCTTCCCAACCGCTGTAACCTATATGGATAAGTTCGAAGACATGTTCGAAGATGTTCTGGAGTTCATCCTCCACGATCTCTGCACCACATGCTGCTCGTATCTGGAATATACCAACGACTTCGATGATTGGAATGACCCGAAGATCGCGGCCTTCCGCGAGTTTTCCGCGGTAGCTGAGTACGTTACGTATGTCTGTCCGGACTGGTTCCAGAAGTTCCTCGATCTTCCCGGAGAGCTCCGCGAGTCTATCATACACGAGTATGCTCTGATGGAGCGTGATGATGGTCGCCTGAGCAAGCATCAGCACTTCGACGAATTCAGCAATCCATGCTGCAAGTGGGACTATCCCAAAGTGCTCATCGCTTGCGATAACCAGAATACCAACGTGTTCCCGGATGCTGGTACTGGTCGATGTCCCAAAGGATGGCTACCAAATCTGGCGTTCGTGAGCCACAGGATGCATGAGGAAGTTCTCGTCCTGATGCTGCGGCGGACCGAGCGCTTCGATCTCAAGTATATCTTCAGAAACACCAACTTCAAGATTGCGACTTGGTTCACCAAGTTCCTCAAGGCGATTCCCGGTGGCGGCGGCGAGATCGCGGTGAAGCATCTCAACTTCCCGCACATGCATTGGTTCAACCACCAGCGCATCTTTAATAAGGCACTCACGAATCCGAGCTTGGATTTGGCCGTCGCTTGCAAGAACCTTCGCAAGCTGGATATGACTTTCCATGTGGACAAGGTGACTGTCAGCAATGAGGATACTGACTGGAAGCGCAAGGCACTTCCTCTTGCTAAAGTCATTGACCGCTTCAAGCTGGGGACGCTATTATACTGCCCTCGTTTGGAGGAAGTGTACATCGACGGCATCTACATGCGGCCGTCTCGAGGCGGTGAGGAGAAGGATCTAGATGTGCTCGAGGATGTCAGTAAGTGGATGATGAAGAGCTTCCTCGTTCGGCGGCATCCGGAGCGCGGTATCCAAGTGGAGCTGGTTCGCCGATGGGGATGTTGGAGGGGACGTGTACGTGGGACGATGGTTGAGTTGAATGAACAAGATATGGCAGAAGTGAAAGCGCGCATTGATATCGAGAGCGAGTGTACGAAGGCTCTCGCTCTACCTGAGCCTGATATATTCACCTAGAGGGGTGCTATTAGTGTCCTTAGTAATATTTAGCAAAATACCATTGGGTATGAAGCTTTCGCGAATGGACCTTGAGTTGATTCTTGTCATTTCGATGCCGCTGTCACAATGGTCTAGATATATGTTGAGCTTCTAAGTTTGGTGCTTACCGGCTCTCATTTGTGCCAGTGTTGATCACCTGTGTATTTTGCGCCGATGATCAACAAACACAACATTGGAAGTTTGGATGTTGTGTTCATACGCGAAAAGCAATCGTTACCAAGCCTCAAGGACCGATAGACCTACTGGCGACGAGATAGTCTGGAAGCAGAAACAAGGCAGAAGGTTAGCTGTTGTTCGAAGCTTCGGAAGGCGCGCGTTGTGGAGCTCAAGTTCGAGCTATCCATCCAATCAGCAGCCACGTGATGGCGATGACAAAGGCGCTAGCGACGCGAACCCTGCAAATCTGGGGTAGCTTCGAGGCGGCCATACAAGGTGCAGCAAGAGTCTGGCGCTTGCTAGCAAGCCCATATACACCGCTTTGATACCCCTCTTCACTTCTTGTTGAGCTACAACTCTTACAACTCTTACAACTCTTACATCAAACCTTTGTAATACAACACCAACAAGTACACTTCCATCAACATGTCTTGCCCCGTGATTGGTACCACAAACGATGTGCTTCCTCCCAACCACCCCTCTATCGACCTAGCGAAGGATGGTCAGGTTGTACGTACTCAAAGATACACTGGACATCGTTGCACATCGCTAACATACAATCCACAGTGCCCAGTCGTAGGCGCGACAAGCGACCACCACCACAACCTCTCCGCACATCCTCCCGTCCCCACCCAAGGCACCGAGGCTACATCGTGCCCAGCGCTTAAGAAGAACGTAAAGACGACCAAGGCCCAAGAGATGGACGATGCTCTCTGCCCGATCGTAGGCACAGCTACAACCGTGCTTCCTCCCGACCACCCAGACATGCTCAAGGCGAACGCCGGCGACATCTGCCCAGTCACAAAGGCGACAGTTGGACACCACAAGGACAAGGTCGCTACACACCCGAGCGTAGAGGGTGCGGCAGATGGGGCTGTATGCCCTGTCACCGGCCAGAAACAGGCTGCATAGATATGGCGAAAGGAGGGATGGGGGCGGCGTTGGTAAATTATACCCGAATATAAATGATTGGATAGTGATTCTACGCTGAATCAGCTTCCGCCCCATCTCGCGGCACTATTTTGGCTGTCCAAAAAGCTTTTCTGACTCGTAGCTGTGTTGTCAGATTGCGGGCGCTTAGCATGCAGCTCACGCTGAGTACATGGGGGCCGTAACGACCCCCACAGGTATATGCTTCTTGTTACCCTCATACTCCCTTTTCTTTGCTCCCTGTATCTCTTCATCATGCATTACCATACTCTTTTTCTCGCATTTTTCCTACTCCGCTTCGCTTCACCCCAGAATATCTGCTACCTACCCAACGGCGACACACAACCCCACGACGTCCCATGCGACCCCAACGCGGAAGTAACAGGATGCTGCTGGTCGCGCGCAGCCTGTCTCACAAACGGCCTTTGCATTATGGGTGGTGCGGAGAGCGATAGCGGCCAGGAGTACGCACGCGGCACCTGTACGGATAGGAGCTGGTCTAGCCCACTCTGCCCACAGAACTGTCAGCTCAATCAAGATACGCCGAATAATTCTAGCGCCTATGACTTTCGCGCTGATGGCGTCAAGGTGTGGCAGTGTGGCTCGCAGGGATACGGGAGGGAGGCAGAGTACTGCTGTGAATCTGAGGCAGAGGGGCAGAGGTGCTGTCAAACGGATACGGCGGTGTTTACCTTGACGAGTGCTACTGTAGGCCCGTATACAGGGGTTGAGAGTAGTTCGTCGCTGTCACTGAGTTCATCCGCTATTTCGAGTGCGAGTACCACGCCTTTGCCAACTCCATCGCGCACTGGTACTGGGTCCGTAACTCAAGCCTCTCCGAGCCCGCCAGCCGACAATCCGGGCCAAAGCGACAGCAAAGCAATTTCCATCGGCGCCGGAGTCGGTGGAGCTCTAGGAGGATGCCTTCTGACCGCCCTGTTGATACTCTTCATCAGGCGCCACAAACGCAAACGAGTGGCTCCCCGTTTAGACGAGCCTCCAGTCGCTGTGGCAGAGTTTAACGATAAAGCCGAACTATCGACTGAGGAGTCATATGCAGAACTGTCGAGTCAGAGCCAGATCAAGGCGGTCTGGGAGCTGCCCGGAGATGAACGTCTACCGGGCTACAACATGAACAGTCGATAAGGCAACAGGAAGGGAAGAAATAGGGACTTGAAGCCGTTGAGACAGTAGTGAAAACTTGACAATTAGCGAGTTGGGAACGGCGATTCCGATCAGCTTTTGTTAGACGAGACGAATGCCTTTTGAGACTATGATGCATTGCAAGATGCGGATTCGCTTCGTTAGAGGATAATGTATTGAGATAGATAGTCAGCTGGTAGATCGAAGCCCCTCGGCATCTAATACAGCATTTGACTTTTTCTAGCTCGTATTTTGATCGAGGGTCGGCACCTATATTGCTCTTTACAAGACGCTCCTTACTGCCACAAAATGCTTGTGAACCCTTCGTTTGTGAACCCTTCGTTTGCGAACCCTTCGTTTGTTAAAACCTTCAGGTTTGAGGCGAGAAGCTGTTTGTTATTGCCACACGCGCCTCAAGCTTTGAGCACAGTTAACTCCCGCTCACCCATCAGTTGAGCAATCTCCAAGATGATAAATTACTCCCTTTTCTCCCTCTAACTTCAACTTTCCTTTCAATAGATTCGGCAACTCTAGTTGAACAAGCAATGGAGTTCAATTCTAGAGTCGCTCTCGCAGTCGTCACTGCGGTGATGGTGGGACGACTTTGCTACCTCGTCTATTTGCTGATAGCCGCTAATCGCGCTGCGAAGCGTTTCGGTTTCGGCTTCGCCTTTGCGTCTAGTCCCCAGGGAAAAAGCAGTCACAAGATACCCAGGAAGCCAAAGTACATCTTCCATGTACCCCGACACAGCGAGCGCAAAGTGCGCCATCAACCTCGATCCCGCAAGCCTCAAGTGCTGCCATCGCACTCTGACATCGTTACCAAGGCCGAGGAATGCGAAGAGTACGTGCCAGACTACTTCCCGCGCTTTCTCCAGCTTCCGCTCGAGATACGTGAGAAGGTCTATCATTACGCAATGGACGGCCTCTCAACACGATACTTTGTCCAGGCGTACAAGGACATCTCGCCCCTGACAGTAGCGCCAGCTACACTCCCAAATTTATGTTTTGCCAGCAAGCAATTACACAAGGAAGGACTCGCTGTCTGGATCCGCCGCACACGCTTCACGGTCTTGAAAAGCAGCATAACGCATGTGGTTCCTCTGATGAATTTTCTTTCCGCTGTCGATGGCTTCAAACACGTGCGCATGCTCTGTTATGGCGATCTCCTCGCCTACGGCCTGAAACATCAGAGGGTGTACATAACCACGGGTGAAGATCTAGCTGCCAAGTGCACTGGACTCCGCAGTCTAATCTTCGAGTTGGACTATTTCTGGCTCACAGATTTTGCGCGTGCGCCAGCGCCGGTGAAGCTGGCTCCAAAGAAGGAGGTAAAGAAGCGGTTGAGGCTTGAGCCAGTCTACCAGCTATCCAGTTTGAGGAAGCTGAAGATAGAGGTGGTTGTGCCCTGGTCCCGAGGAAAACGCTTTGAACAGCAGGGTGGATTGACGCGTTTGACGGAGATAGTCACCGAAGGCTTTGAAGCGGCAGGAAGAGGCGGGCTTGTAGAAGTGCAGCTTGAGATGGTAGCCAGGAGGCTGTTGGTTGGAACGTAGTGCTTGGCATAACCAGCTAGTCGACTTCGTAGCGATGATAAAATATTCATGTATAATACTACAGTACTGAGACAGCGACAGAGCATGTGCCGACAATCACAGGGGTATAGCCGGCGACTAGGGGGAACGAGCGCGATATGGTAATGGTGAGTGCGATGGTTTCCGCCGTGAGGGCCCTGCATCGTCGCCGTCGGAACCTGAGCGCCTTCGCTCACGCTTTCGATGCCGATCGCGTCTCACTCTGGAATCCTCGCTCCGATCTCGAGACCGTTCCGACCGGTGGCGACGATGTCTGTCCTCCGAGTCATCTCGTGGTCTTGACTTCCGATGTCTATGTTCGTCGCGTGGACTTCTGTCGCGGCTTTTACTCCTTCGGCGTGAGTGCTTGTCATGCCCATCGCCTTCTCCCGCTTCCTTGATCCTTCTTCTGTCCCTACTCCTATCTCGGTCTCTCGACCTGTCTCTCGACCTGTCTCTCCGACTATGCCTATCCTTGCGCTTTGCCCGCTCCTTTTCTTTGCGCTTCTGCTTCTTCAGCTTCTTGAGAGCATCGTCCACTTTCTCTTGTTGGCGCTTGATCATGGAATCGCGCATCGGATCGTCCTCGTCGAGCTTCTCCATAAGCCGCCCTAATTCAATCTCCTCTGGTAGTAGTGGTCGGTCGTCGTCCGAGTCGCTTTCGCTTTCTGTCTTTCTCCGCTTCTTTCTGCCGCCATCAGACTCATGGCCCGCGTCGAGGTCGACGTCCCCCATAGTGTTGTCCCTCATGTCTTCATCGTCCTTAGGCTTGTACCGCGCATGGTCGACCCTGATGACTCTGTCCATAATGGTTGCTCCACCCAGGTTGTCCACAGCCAGGTCGCAGCTCCTCTGGTCTTCGTACTTGATCCAGGCAAAGCCTCGTGACTTTCCCGTCTCCTTGTCGCGCGCAAGCTTGACCCATACCGGCTCGCCATACTGAGAGAATATGGTGATGATGTCACCCTCTGAAAGTTCGAAGGGCAGGCCGCCGATGTTAATGAAGGCTGTGTCGCGATAGTCGGTATGCCATGAACCTTCTGGGTTGATGCCCGCTTCGAGCTCGCGCTTATTGAGCTGCTGGATCGCGCGCACTGAATTCATCGTGGGCGTGGTGTGTACGTAGTGGTGAGGTTAGAAGTGAGGAAGGCGCGT